TCGTCCTCCTGTGGACAAGCGTGTTCTTATCGTCTATTTATGTCGTACCTATTGCAGTTTATCATTCTTTTTATTCCATCATCTGAGCACTGAACTTGTGCTGGGCTAGACCCTGAGGATGCGCAGTCAAGTAAACATGACACCTGGCCTTAAGGAACTTAGAGCCCTGGGGAGAGCTGAGATTCTAGGAGAGCACACAGGACAGCAGAGCCACAAGCACATGCTGACTGCAGTCTGAGTCCCTGGCCAGGCTGGCCTTAAACACACTGAGTGTGCAGGACCCTGGTGGGCTGGAGAACTAGAGGAAGGGGATCACAGCTGACCAAGCCCTGGGAAGGATGTGTCTCTGTCTATCTACCCTTCCTCCCCTCACCCCCGGGTGCCTGCTGTCATGATTTTTTAAATCTTAAAAAAAAAGAATGTAACGTTAAGTAAACTCCCATGTAAATTATATACTTTCTAAGATACAGATAACTAATACCCTCTTCCTAACTTCACTCTAATTCTCAGTCAGATATATTTTTTATTGTGGACCAGCAGGTGTCGAGGTTAAGGCACTAGATCCCACGTGGCTGACTGAGCAGTTCGAGTCCTGGACACGGCGGCTTTAAAGTCACACCAAGTACATGTGCATGCATGCCCAAAATCCAAAGGAGGAAAATGGAGAAAGGATTGCAGCGTGTCCCTCCCCTGAGGGATGATTTTTCATTTTCTCTCCCTCTCTCTCTCTCTCTCTGTTTCTCTCTGGTGAGTGTAGCAGCCTGTAACAAAAACTTAAATTTTATTTATGTTTTATTTATTTATTTTTTTACATTTTTGCAAGAGAGCATCTGAGGCTTGCCCGAGAAAGGACGAGCAGGGAAAATGAGAAGGCATGCTCCCCACTTGGGAGACAGTCAGGCCAGTCTTTCTTATCCATTTCTCCTTCTGGGATTTTGCGCAAGCACACATACGTGGCCAGTGTGTTTTTCAGGCCACCAGCTCCAGGACTCCAATTCATTTATTTTTTTACATTTTTGCAAGAGAGCATCTGAGGCTTGCCCGAGAAAGGACGAGCAGGGAAAATGAGAAGGCATGCTCCCCACTTGGGAGACAGTCAGGCCAGTCTTTCTTATCCATTTCTCCTTCTGGGATTTTGCGCAAGCACACATACGTGGCCAGTGTGTTTTTCAGGCCACCAGCTCCAGGACTCCAAATCCACAGTAGACCACGTGGGATCCAGCTGCCTTAACCACCACGCCACCAGCTGACCCATTATACATTTTTTTTTCTCTTAGTTTTTTTTTTTTTTTTGCCGTAATGCATGTGTGCTCACAGAAGAAAGGGAAAGTGAGAAATTACCACTCAGGGAGTATAACCATACCATAATGCATTCTCCCACATTCTCCTCTCAGGATTTTAGACAATGCATGCACATGCACCTGGTATGTTTTTCAGACATCCATGTCTGGGACTCAAACTGCAGAGTTGGCCATGTGGGATCCACATTAATCACCACACCATCTGCTGGCTCTGCCCCTTCTTGAGGATGTTTCCTTCTCTGAAATTAAAAAAATATATTATTTAATTTTATTCATTGTCATTATTTTAAATTAAATTTTATTTTTTTGAAGTTGACCAGAGAGATACAGAGAGAGAGAAGGAAAGTGAGAAAGCAAGCTGTCATGTCTGAGACTCAAACCAGCCACATGGGTGTCCAACCACCTTAACCACCACACCACTGGCTGACCCCTCTTCTCTGAAATTTTTCCTTTTTATTTTTAAAGAATTATTTAACTTTATTCATTTATTTTAATTTGAGCAGAGAGGGATAGTGTGTGTGTGTGTGTGTGAGAGAGAGAGCGAGAGCAAGAGAGAGAAACACAGAGAAAGAAAGCCGCCAGGTCCAGGACTCGAAACACAGTCAGCCATATGGAAGTCCAGTGCCCTTAATCACCATGCCACCTGCTAGCCCCTAATCTTAAAAAAAAAAATGTAAAGGTATTCCCAAAACAGATAAGGACATGACAAAAAGAGAAAAGAGCAGACTAATATCTCTGATGAATACAGATGCAAAAATTCTCAACGAGACACTTGTGAATAGTATCCAACAACGTATAACAAAGATTATTCATCACGACCTGGTAGGTTTTATCCCAGGGTTGCAAGGGTGGTTCAACATATGCAAGACCATAAATATAATACACCCTATTAACAGAAAGAAATATAAAAACCATATGATCATTTCAATTGATGCAGAGATAGCATTTTACAAAATACAACATCCTTTCATGATTGAGACTCTCAGTAAGATTGGTATAGAAGGGTCGTTTGTCAACACAATAAAAGCCATCTATGAAAACCCTATAGCTAACATTATACTGAATGGGAGAAAGCTAAAAGCTTATCACTAAAAACTGGTACAAGATAAAGCTGCCCACTTTCTCCACTACTTTGTAATATAGCGCTGGAAGTCTTAGTCAATGTAATCGGAAAAGAGAATGTAAAAGGCATTCAAATAGGCAAAGAACAGTTGACAATATTTCTATTTGCAGATGGCATGATGGTATACTTAGAAGACCCAAAGGTTTCCATAAAAAAACTTCTCATAGTAATAAATGAATACAGTGAAGTGACAAGATACAAAAATCAACATCCAAAAATCTATAGCATTTCTATATACGAACAAGTTGAACAAAGTAGAACTGAAGAAAGGAATCCCCTTCACCATAGCCACAAAATGTATAAGATACCTAGGGGTAAACCTAACTAAGGAAGTCAAAGAACCTTACAAAGAAAACTATGAAAATCTTAAAAAAGATATTGAAAAGAACATAAAAAAGTGGAAGGACATCCCACGTTCCTGGATTGGAAGAATTAACATAATCAAAATGGCAATTCTACCCAAAGTAATCTATGTATTTAACACAATTCCAATCAAAATGCCAGAGAATACATCTGTCACAGATCTAGAAAAGACGGTCAAATAGAATTTGTCTGGAATCATAAAAGACCTCAAAAAAGAGTGGAGGGGCGGCATCTCACTCCCTGACCCCAAAATATCCTATAAAGCTGTGATAATCAAAACAGCACAGTATTAACACAAAAACAGACAGGAGGACCAATGGAATGGAATAGAGACCCCAGAAATAAATCCCAAAGCTTATAGCCAACTGATTTTTGACAAAGAATATCAGTCAATCCACTGGCAAAAGGAAAATCTTTTTAGCAAATAGTGCTGGAAAAACTGGGTATTCATCTGCAGTAAGATGAAACTGGATCCCCATCTTTCTCCATTAACAAAAATCAACTCAAAATGGATCAAAGATCTGAACCTAAGACCTCAAACTATAAAACTACTAGTAGAAAATACTGGGGAAACTCTGGGAGACATTAGGGTAGACAAAGACTTCTTAAACAAGACTCCCAAAGTACAGGCAATAATCCCTAAAATAGGCAAGTGGGACTATATCAGATTAAGAAGTTTCTGCACAGCAAAGGAAACAGTAACACGTGTGACTCAACAACTCTCAGAATGGGAGAATATTTTTGTCAAATATGCCTCAGACAAGGGATTGATAACCAGAATACACAGGGAACTCAAGCAGCTTAC